CTCGTTGGAACCTGACCAGGAAGAAATCATAACCACGCATGTTGGGAACCTTGTGGACAACGACGCTTGTCAGCGCAGTCTTTAAGGATCATGTCCAGCCTTGTCAGGTACCGAGGAACTTGGCAGTTTGTAGGTCGGACAACACTCAGCAGTTGAGTCGAGTCAAACCTGGTGAATGACAACTGCGACATACAAGCCGGGTAGGGCAACTTAAAACAACATGCAAATAAACAACGTCAACAAAATAGTCACTGATCAAGCACTGTACAAGGTTTGATGTTAGTTTGTAGTTTAATTGTTATTCCTATTTAGCCCTTGACCAACCCAAAAGTTTGGATAAACCTTATACAGAAACACCCAACATCCTATAAATGCAGAGCTAGATACGTATTCCAAGAATCCGTCATCTTCCGACGCTCGGAGAATCGAGAAGGCCCTGTAGGTCGGTCCTCACCGAAGGGCTGCACATAGCTGAGCCCGTTGAGCTTCGCCCGCAAGGCCTGCGAAGAAGGTTCCGCTTTCGCGCGGCAAAAGCGGGGAGGGCGCGAGATCTGCGGTTTTGTTGGATGGTGAGAACAATGTGAACAACAAATGAGGAAGCGAGGTGATAACACTCAACAATTTGATGTGCAAGGCAAAGGAGAAAACACCATGGGTATCATTACCTGGGATACCAATGCTCTCTCACCTCTTTCATTATACTAGTAGGTTGTAGTACAGGGATGTGGACAAATGGACATCATTATGTGGCAGCTCTGAACAAAAATACCTCTTATACTAAATGCCACTGGCGTTGTGGATGTTTAGCTCCTCTTCAGGGGAGGTGATGACCAACCAGTTTGCTATTTGCCCCTTGTACGTTGATGCAAACACTTCTTGAAGCCGTCTATGAAGAAAGCCTACACTATTGACATCGTATGACTCACAATATCTCCCAATATTACCCTCCAACCAAGGAAGCAAGCGGCAAGCAAGACCCATATTCTAAGAGCACAGGTGAAGCGTTCTTCGTCCCTGTGCTTAGTACATCTTGGTACTTCAGTAGTAAGTGTCCAGGATCGTCCTGTTGTCTTTCATCGTGCTTCTACTCCGGGTGCTTCCCCATGGCCAGCTTCTTTTCTCTCAGCAGTGAGCCTGCTGAGCCGAGCGAGAAGCACTCAGCATGTGAGTCGAAACGACGAAATAGCACGCCAGTGGAAACTCCCTAGGATCGTTAGGAGATCCTAAGAATCTTGGTGAGCTCATGATAAGACCAGAATTTCATTAAGACTTCCTTGATGTAGACGGTCGATGAAAAAAAAACTACCTCTTCACATGGGGGCTGGAAGCAAGATGAATTCAACTGACACTCCACTGAGATGTTCATGATCTCACGGGTGACCATGACCGGAGTGCTTGAGCCCTCATGCTGGGTCTTTTGGAGCCTCGGCATTTGGCTCCTTTGGGATGCGCACTCCCCCATGCTGTCGTGACCACTTGCCATTTGGTTGTGCGCTTTCAATGGATGATGGATGGACATCCATTGATGAATTGTCATTTGATAAATGATCCATTTGGTTGTTGTTTTGTGTATGTTTCTCTTTTTTCAATGGATGATGGATGAATTTCTGATTACAAAACATCTCCCTTCTGGTCCCTTCACAACCGACATCTTGGACGATGGCGCCTGGTAGCTGGTGACGGGTGCTGGGCTTCGAGCCATGGCATGGTCAGAATATCAAGTGGTGTTGACCATGGATATGAGCATAGAACTGATGGGAGCCCGGTGTGACCAAACTTGAATTGGCAAGACAGGTTGTATGTAGTGCTGTTGTTATGAGTTATTTGCTGCTTCATTATTGAAATATCAAATTCGTCAGCTCATAGAGATTAGTAGTTCTATATGATATGTCATCTTGTTTTTTGTTGATTGCAGGGACGATATACACGTACTTAACACTCCATTATTTAACACTCCATTATGTTACAGCCTCTCTCTCTCTCTATCCTCTTACGGCTGGCTGCCGCAATGTGTTGCACCTGGAAGTGTGACCTTTTTTGTCGATATGTACGTCTCTGGCGGGCTGCAGCCCGGGATCAAACTTCAATTGTCACTTCATGGATAGCCCGACGTTTAAACTAAACAGAATTTATCCTTGCTTTGACAAAGAAAGGACTTAGGGTTTGTTGTGTGCGGTTGACTTTTTAGGTGTTAAGACATTGCATCCGTGCTCTTGTCTGTTGAGCCAAAAAGCTTGCGAATGGATGGATAGGGCCACGTACGTTTTGATGACTCAATTTCCACCCTACTTGGATGATCCACAGGATCCAGCAACCTACGTAGTGTATGACATATCCTGACATATCCCATGATTCCAGGTGGTTACCCATAGGCGTAACGTTGTGCTGCTGATGAGGTGCTGGCAATGAAAGTCACCCAAACATCTTGACATCATTTGATTCGCATGCCACGCGCAAGCATCTAGCAAACAATTCAAAAACCTCCTCTCACAACACATGTGGCTGTAAGTCATCACTATGTGTCCCTACATGTGCACAAACTTCATATGGAACCAAAAAGCTGATGTAGACAATGTAGACTCTTGCTTTACAATCCCCACTATTGTATTCCAAAACCTCTTCATATTGGTTGGGGTTTGATTAATCAAGAGTGCACCTTAAGCTACTGCTTCAAGTTTCAAGATGCTTGGACCCACTGATGGGCCTGTTGATCAGACCGTTTGAACCAATTTTTTAACAGATGGACTCCACTGGGCCCTCACTCACGGACACCACTCTTTTTGGGACTTCGGCTCAGCTGCCAGGCTTCAAGCTCAGACCTCATGCGGCGCATGCGGCGCATGCGGTTCAAACAGTGCCAGCCCCGATTTGTGTTGGAAAATGGGTGCTGCGTTTTGTGCGTGGTGGGTTTTTGAATGTGTGTAATCTATGAAATGGCGTGGTCGTTTGAACACAGCGGTCAGATCTCATGATGATGGTGACAAGCATGAGGATGATTCACTCATCTGAAGGGAACAAAAGAGAGCAAAATAGGGAAAACAACAAATCGACAAAAACAAAACAGACACAACAAACTACATGATGCTGTTGGAAGCTTGACGAAAACAAACACTCCCAGCAAAACATAGAATCAAACAAACCAACTACTCGCTTGGTCTGTGAAGCCGTTCAATCCGCACGGGATGTGCCACTGAGCTCTCGTGCTGTGAGGACTTGTCCATGCAGTCCATGAAAGGCCTCACAGCAAGGAGAAGTGAGAGTTTCCTTGTCCAACTATGTCCGACTTCTTAATGAAAAGGTCTGACTTGGTCAAGCCCGCCAAGTTGGAGAGAGCATGATCACCACCAAGGTTGTCTCAGTGAAAAACAAGGGACAAAGAAGGCCACTGGCCACTGCAAAGGTGGTCTGTGCATCTCTTTGGGTGCAGCGACAGTGAGGTTGGGTGGGCGCCAGAAAGAATTGGATGACCAACCACAGGGGTAAGTAATTCAAACCAATTCCAAAAACAGCATCTGCAGTCTGTCTAAGCAATATCCAATTGGATGACAAAGCACAAGAATTGAAAGACTTGGATGCTCAACCAGATCTGCAGTCTACTGGTCCCCTAGACTCTAGACGTCACGAACGGGACGTCAGACCTGCCAGGTGTCACCGTCCGAAGCAATGGCACAAGCATTCATTTCCTAAGCTTTGGCACTGCGTTTGCTGAAATCTTGCTCCAAACAGCTTTCGCGGGAAGTTTTCCAAGCTTGCCCGACCTAGGCATTCAAAGCCAGCCAGCCAGCCAGGAGGAAATAAGCAAGCCAACATACAAGCGATCAAACTGACAAGGCAGGGCCGGGGAGACCACAATGGAACACCACCGACACACCAAACCCGCACAACCACTCGATTCAAGATTCAAAACCTGCAACTCAACCCAGTGCTTTGCTAAGCTGCTCAGCTTCTCCTCTCACACCGTCTCTTTCCCTCAAAATTGGTCTCTTGTCAAACAAAACGGTTCGTCTTCTCTTTGGCAAACCGTCTTCTCCAAAAATGCCTGGCCCCAAGTCCAGATTCCAAAACTTTCCTCTCGCACATCTTCCGTCCTCGGCATGTTCTGTCTCTCAAGTCTTATCGGAACTTTGATGTCTTTTCACATCCTGCGGCAGGTTTCTAAAGGCTCTTCCTCTTACTTGTATCCCCAAGCCTCCAGCTTGACAAAGTGATGTGGCCAAAAACTGCTGGCTTAAACCCTTCGAATTTGGATGGCTTGACACCTTGCGATGCATGGCCCTCCGCGATATAGACACGGAGAAGGCCTCTACGCAGAAAGGAGGGTGGTCATGGTTTGGCATCACCCCCACAGAACTCACACCACAACTCTGAGTGGGGTTTGTGATGGTGAGGTGCTACTAGACAATGATAGTGACCCAGGAAGGAGGGGTTGAAAGCGATTGTTATTGACCTCCTTTCAAATGTTGCTTGCCGATGAGCAAGGTGATCGTTTCAGAGAATCGTTTGAAACTTCCACTCAACCGCCTGGCCTATCCAGCACTTCCGTTGCGCTTTCTGGCCAGTCAGCCAACATCTGCCGCAACGTCGGAGCGCCCCAATTCTTGAGCTAAACATGGGAATTAGAGTGAAGTGCAGTGTACAAAGCATGCCCCGCCAAAAATCACACAAAGATTCAACCACATGCTTTGTGGCAACCTTTCATGCGGTGTTCACTCTACACTTTCTTGCCAAGACACCGCAACCACCTACTGTTGTAGGGCAGTGACGTTGCCGATTTGCGGCTTGGGACATCACTACTGCGCTCGCCACGTTTCGTAGTTTCACGAAATGAGAATAAGCTGACAATGCTGGTTGGCTTTCCTCAGGCAAAGCGATTACTGGAGGCCAAATAGCCAAAAAAACAAGCAAATGAGCAACTAGCCCAGGTTGGGGCTTAGGTTGCCTTCGCAACTTTACCGGTTACCGCGACACTGTACATATTATGCCGCCGCTTGCAGCCAGGCTCAGGCTGAACACCTTGCCTCAGTGAAGCAAAACAAGCCTTCTTTCTCAAGTTGGCGAACCTTTTCCAGATCTGCCCACACCTGTTCATGGGAACCCGCAAGCACCAAAAAACCAGCACAGGTAAAACAATCCAGCGTGACTTGCACCTCAGATCCAGCGGAGATGAAACTGCACAGTTCAAGGAAGGACACCATGTTCTTCATTCTCTCGTATCCTGGTGTGCTTTCAACTCGGCCGGAAAAGTAGGACACGAGGGGAACAATCAGACCTGACCCTTGAAAAGCTCTGGGAATATCAGGTAGTGCATCAAAGCGTTTCTGGCTGGCACAATCAAGGGTTGCATCAGGGTGTGATGTCCCTGTCAGCAACCGTGCCAAAGATATGTGGCACCCATCGGCGCCGACCATCCGCGTGTTCACCTCCACTAGGCAAGGGCCATCCGCTGTTACCATCACTTCCGTGTGGGTCGCCCCGTTGCGAATCTCCAATGCATCAAGTGCTGCGCGAACATATGAAATGAGGCCCCTCGGGCAGTCTATGGTCTCCACTGGTTCAAAGTGGGTACAAACAAAATCCCCACCGTTGACTGTTTGCTTCCGATAGGTCCAAACCATAATAGTCTTGTGCACACCATTGCGAGAAACATGGTCCACGGCATACTCCTCACCATCGAGAAACTATTGCAACAAAATCGCGTTGTCACAAGCCACCACTTTTCTCTTGGTGACCTGCAAATGATGAAAGTGCTCTTTTGCAGCTTGAACGGTATGGCAAAGCTTTACTCCATCCGTGCCTGCGGACTGCACTGGCTTCACCACCATTGGGAGTCCTAAATCTTTCAGGTGACCGTGGACAACATCCCACGAGTACCCACAAATCTCCCGAACTGCGCGGCACCCAGCCATCTCCAGCGCATTCCGCTGCACATGCTTGTTCTGACGGTCTCCTCCATGGAAAGGCTTGTTCCCAGAGCCCGACGAGCAAAGGCTGAGCTCAAAAGAAACAAGATCTGCCAAGTTCACGCCTCGCTCGCTGCCGGGGATGCAAGCTGTGATTTCGAACGCACCAAGTGGACAAAGTGCTCCTTCAATGGCCTTCACAGTTGCAGGGGTGGAGGCTTGCTCCTGCACCACTAAGTACGCCTCATAGGCATCAATTTGTTTAACCTGTGAGCTATCTGAGCTCAGAGTGCCTGAGGTGTGCTCCACCAACTTCTTACTCCACAAGACTACCACCAGGAAACCACGAGAACAGGCAATTTTCACGAGGGGCCGTCCAGTGGAGACGGGGTCAACAATCACAACGACCTCTCGTGGCATCGTTCCCACCAGCGCCATGGCTTCAGACCTATTCAATCGCACGCCCGAACTGGAATGTTCTTGCGGTGTTGAATGCGAAATGAATCATGAGATTGCATACAATCCCGAGACCTTGGACTGAAGTTGACATCGTCCAAACGCGATGATCCATGCTTTCAAGCCTTCATGTCGCGGATCATCCGCCCGCCTGGCCGTCAACGCAACGCCTGCTTCCAGGCAGGCATCCCCAAGAACACTTTAGGCGTCCACCCCAGGCATCACCAGGTGCCTGAGAGGCGATGCTACGCCCGCTTTGGTGGCGCAAGTCCAACGACACGTGAACATCACACAACCACCGGATAGCATGCTATTTGGGTGCCACGGTTTTGTTGTGATCCTTCTGCAAACAACAGACTGCCAGGATTTTGTTTGGTATATCAAGAACATCCGAGAGCATCTGGATCCAAGTAATGTAAAATGTCTATCTCTCCGGTGCTTTGCTCAATACACAAACCCACACACTTCGAACTTGGATTTTCAGTTAACGCAATCTCCCGAGGAAA